TCAACGTCCCTCAAGTTCTACCTGCCTTTTTGTGGTGAAGCAGCCCCAGCCCAGAGGACCTTTCATCACCCCTAAAAGCAGGCTCCCTTAGATAAAACTGCTTCACTTGACCCTGGGGAACAGTGCCGTTATTCATAAGATGGGAGGGAGTGAATCCTGAACCAGGAATGCGGACAGGTCCGTGATGTGGCTGAGAAAGCGAGTGTGACCGCACAGCAGGTGTTCATTCGAGCAAGAGGGTGTCTTCCCTTCATAAGCATCTCCCACCTGCCTGCTGCTGGCCGTCCCCACCCTCCCAAGGGCCTCAGCAGCGGCAACCTCAGGAGGGGTTAGCAGTGGGTAGGGGGAGGTGCTTCCTGCCAGCTCATGCCCCAAGGTTTTAGCGTCAGACATAGGAAGCCTCCCTCTCTGTTTGTGTGACTCAGTTTCCCTCCTGGCTGTTTGATCATCTCTGAACAGGCACCCAGAATGAGCATCTGGGTGTCAGGCATTTGCACTTACTTTCCTCTTTGTTCTCTCTACGTTCAGCAGCATCTTTTTTTTTAATTGGAAGATAATTGCTTTATAATGTTGTGTTGGTCTCTGCCATACAACAGCTCAAATAGGTCATAATTATATACATATACATACAGTCCCCTCTCTGGAGCCTCCCTCCCTCCGATCCCATTAGACAGCCCCACAGCAGATGTGCTTAAAGATTCAAGATGGCATTTGTTTGCATTTAGTTAGTTGTTCCCATTTTTTTAAATCATGTAAGTTGCCAGAGGGCATCAGTGCCAGGCCCCAGCAAGGCTCTTCTCTCCCCTGAGCCTCCAAGCTTTGTTGTCAAGACGAGTTCAGCCTGGGGACGAGTACCCGCCCTGCTCTGCCAGCTCTGGTCTTGTGCTCCACACACTCTAGGGAACACCACCTGCACCCAGGGGCTGTTTCCACATCATCCCCGGTGACTAGGGCCCCTCTGTTCTTCCTGTTCTCTCATCTCTTTCATCAACATGACTTTGACATAAATTTTTTAACTCCCTTGGGTGCACTTGACTTATGAAACACAGATGAACGTTCTAGTAAATAATCGAGAAACTCACCAGGACCAAAAGAGCAAGCCCCCCTAAGTGTGATGGTGTTCAGCCAGCTGCCAGTGTTCTCAGGCAGCATCCGGAACTGGAACCCGCTCCCCTCTTGCTGCCGCTCTTCCCTTCCTGAAATCTTCCCTTCCTGAAATCAGGACTGAGGTCCTCCCACCTTCAGGGGGCGGGGTCACACTGCTGGCCCAGAGGCCGCCCTGGGTGAGTGTTGTTGAAATTTATCCCTCCGGCACACCATGTTGTGTTTAAGTCACCTGATACTTTGTTCCCATCGGTGCAGCCCAGAGATAGACAGCAGAATGCAGACACCTCCCTCCCTGCCCCTGAACAGATGCATCAGACCCAGACCCAGCCCCCCTGGAATGGCACGTCGTTTTCTGTCCTCTCCTGGCGTCTGCCCTTTACAGACAAGCCCAAAGATGCACAGCTCCACTTGTAACACAGTCAAGTGTCAGCCTCATTCCTTTGATTTCTGTTAGAAACCCTCATTTCAACATCGTGCCTGTTTCCAGTACAGTCACCTCCCAGGGATGTGGCCCCTCAATAGATTCTCAGGGGCCAAGCCTGGGATTGACTAGAGGTGGTTTCATGTTTCCCCGGCCGAGGTGACAGGGGAGGAAGCAAGTCCCACCCCACTGAGGGATCTTTGTGCTCTGGGAAATAACTGCTCACAACCACAGAGGATGAGATGGTTGGATGGCATCACCAACTCAATGGATATGCATCTGAGCAAACTCTGGGAGATAGTGAAGGACAGGGGAGCCTGGTGTGCTGCAGTCCGTGGCGGCGTAAAGAGACAAGACACGACTCAGCGACTGAACAATAAAAACAGCTACGTTTCATTAACAGTTCCTGGCTGGAATGGACACTTGCTTGCTTGACCCAGCTGACCATATGACATTTCTGATGCAAAGTCACACACTGACAAGGCCCTCGGGGATGAAAAGGCCTACGGGAAGGCCAGCAGCACCCTGGCGGCCCCACAGTATTGATGTGCAGTGTTACACCACAGCTCATGGACCTTGGTCATCTCATCAGTAGCAGCTTCCTTCTTTCCGTTTGCACTGTTTGATTATACAGTAACGTTAGCTAATTCTATGGTGTATATAAATTGTATTTTTTTTTAATTTGTAAAGTTCTATTTTCATTTGAACTCTTGGAACTTGGAGGTTCTCATCGTAACAGTAACCTGTCAGAATAAAACGTCTCCATCCGTCTCCATCATCCTTTTGTCTCCACAGTGCTCTTTCTTTAGTGTGGTGAGGACTTGTTTTCATTTCATTCCTCCCCCCTCTCTAACACATACACAACGCAAAGCTGGAGAGGGGTGTATAGCCTCAGGTCTCCTGTAGCTCTCCCGGCAGGACTGTTCATCCTCAGGGGGCCATTTGGCACCTTAACGTAAGAACCACTTAGTCCTGTGGGTCTCAGCAAAAACCACAGCAGTCGCCTTGCTCTGTCCCCGCTTCAGATCAGCATTGGTGGGCTTGTTCACAGGTCCTTTCCACCTATAAAATCGCCTGTCCTCACAGGCACTCCCTCACACAGCAGCTGCTAGAGAATCCATTCAGTTCCTGCCAGTGTTTCATTTAGGACGGCCTCGCGGGCAGATTCCCCCAGTGTCCAACCAGAAGAAATGGACCCAGTGCTGGGCCTAAGGACTTTCAGACCTTGGTGCCAGCCTCCATCGCTGCCACCTCCCAGGGATTTTGGGTCACATTTTGTTTTGCCTGAAATGTGATTTCTTGGTCTCTGGGTGATCTGCTTCGAGTTGCTTTCCCCCAGTGGCAGAAACACTGGCTGGACTTCCCTGGTGGCTCAGATGGTAAAGAATCTGCCTGCGGTGCAGGAGACCTGGGTTCGATCCCTGGGTTGGGACGATACCCTGGAAGATGGCATGGCAGCCCACTCCAGTATTCTTGCCTAGAGAATCCCATGAGCAGAGGAGTCTGGCAGGCTACAATCCATGGGGTCGCAGAGTCGGCCAGGACTGAGCGACTAAGCACAGTGGCAGAAACAGCCTCAGTCTACTCAGGAGCCTCCATGCAGCCTCCCTCACCCATCACCCCTTCACCCATCCATGCTTCAACCTGTCCCTCCCGCAACTCATCACCCCTTCCACCCATTCCCCAGTGTCCTCTAAGTTCCAGGGGTGTCTCATGTATTTGGCACGTTCAGTCAATCCCACCCGTGAGAACCTGCAGTGTCACTGTGACACTTTGGCAGTGAGCCCAGTTCCCCCCTGCTCCCCCAGTGCCACCCCTCAGGAGCCAGACGCTTCTTCCTTTCTCTCCACCCTCCTGTCCTTGTTAGTCCTCTGTTGTTAGTTTTCCACCCTCTGCATTCAAAATCCACACAAGGAACATCTTTTTCAGAAGCAGTTACCTTAGAGTTCTTTCCCTCCCTCCCTGACTAACCATCAGTTCTCTCCTGGCCTCCCCCTCACTCTACGCGGAGCATATTACTACTTTACCTCCTCTTTTCTCAGTTTCTGTACAATCTGGCCAACTATATGTAGAGTGCCCGCTGTGCCACATGCTGCAGGGCCTGCTGAAGGGGCGTTTCCCTCCAGGAGCTTGCAGATCAGGGACACAGACCCAGTAGCATACCCAGCCATGTTGTGGTGACTGGTAATAGTTATAAAATGCTGCCAGTGAAGAGCTTGATCTGTCCTGGGCATGTGGTACCCTGGAAGGCTTCAGGGAAGAAGTAGCATTCTTAATGAGCTTGAGAAATGAGTAAAATGTTTGGGAGAGGTGGAGAGCTCTGGATAAAGGGAATCTACATGGAACAGCATGAATAAAGGCATGGGGAAGTGAAGGTGTAGGAGTGTTGGAGGAATGTCATAAAATCCGATACTGGAGTGTGGTGTCAGGGGTAATGGGTGCGGAAATGGCTTGGAGCCCTGCTCCCCAGTGCAGGTAAACCAGGGCAACACCCGTTTCAGAAGCAGATACAAAGAAACTACCTCTTCAGCGACTCCCACCTCAGTAAAACATGCAAATCCAAACACCTTGAACATGAATTTGGGAAAGCCAGTGGCTAATTTTTAAATTTAGTGCCCAAAAGATGCATGAAGTTGAAGTATGTCAGCACAGCAAACATTCCTTTCTTCATTTTGCTCAGCTTTTAAGCCCAAATATTCTGCCTATTCTTCAAAGAATTGCTGAGAAAGAACAAAAGTGCAATTCACTCAGCTGCCACACTAACTCTCAAAAGGTGTCAGAGAAAAGTTAGGGTCCTGATTTCATATATGCCCCTCTAAAAAAAGAATAACCATAACCAAATAATACTAGGTGTACAAAAGTGTCATACTGAGGACAAGATACTTTAGATGTAATCAAGAAAAAAGCCCAAATGTTTATAAGTTCTCTTTTCAATACCTAAGTGCTCTGAATGTGAGCAAGTCTGAATAAAGATAAAGGCCCTTTTGGTCTCCTAGGGCTTTTTCAGAATCAGTGGTGAGGCTGCAGTGTGAGTGAGAGCAAGTAGAGAGCTGCAGTTTGAGCTTCTACCCACTAAACATACACACACATTTGGAGGGAGAAATGACAGGAAGCCGAAGTTGTCCAAATCTACACACCACCAAGGATGAACACGATGTGAACTACAGATGTTGGGTGATTATGATGAGTCAGTGTAGGTTCATCAAAGGTAACAAGTGTCACACTCTGGTGGGGATGTTGGTCATGGAAGAGGATGTGAACGTGGGGTGGGCAGGGGTATGTACAGAGTCTCTGCTTTCTGTTAATTTTGCTGTGAACCTAAAACTGCTCCCCCAAACTAGTTAATTCTTTAAAAAAAAAAGAATAAAAAAGGAACTGAGCATTCTTCTCTCCAACAAAACGTAAAATGACGAGGAATATCAGGCTGAACTCCCTTCCAGAAATGAAAAGAAATCACACCAACCCGAGCCTACTACTTCTGTCCATGGTGCTGAAGTTTATTCATCTTCAAACTGATGTTGGTAACAGGTGATTAAAACTTAACACATGGGTGGGAGAGGTGGAGAAGCCACAGTTATATCACTTTATCTACATTTAGCATAAAATGTGAGAAATGTTGACAGGAAGCTGATGCTTGAATAGAACGCTTGTCACAACTCAACTTGATGGCAACCAGATGCGACAAAGTTGAGTGAGAGACCCCAGGGGATTCTCTTGAAGACTGCCTGGGGCCTGGCCTGCCTTTTCCTCCCTGGCCATTATCTTCGATACTACAAGAGAGCAGAGACATGTTTGTTTTGGTGACCTGACTCCACCAGAAAAGTCAGCTTCATCAGACTTTGCTCCCTTCCCACCAGCCTCCACTCCAGCCTGACGACCCTCTGACTTCTATAAACTGGTAAACAAATTGCCCATTAGGAGCTAGTAAAGTCAGTCCTGCTAAATTTCAATCCTTTGGGATCTGATGATTCTGCAAAGGACACAAACTACCAATCAGCAAAGCACAGGTGACTTGGCCCCATGAACCATTTAAGTCCCCAGTGCTCGTGACAGTAAAGTCTTTTTTTCTTAGCATTTTCTCAGCAAACTGTAGCTGAGGTTGGTATCATTGTCTCAGAGCACATCCCCCTCCCCGCCAAGTTGGGGCAGAAATTTCAAAGGGGTTGCTTCTATGCTGTCCCTTTCCTGCTGAAGGCATCCCCTGGTGGTGTTCTTTCACAAGGTTTGAACTTCAGCAAAACCACAATTTCCTTCCTCCCCATCCCATTTCCATCCTCAGGTCCTCTTACCCGGAAGCTGTTGCAGCCCAGTCCACTCTGGGCTCCAATCCTGTCCATCCTGCCCCCGAAGCAGCTGGACCTACGCAGGCTCCGAGGGGCAGTGAGCAGTGCTCTCAGCTTGCTCTTCAGGAGGGTAGATCTATCGGAGGGCTCCCAGGGGCCCCGCCCGAGGGTGCCCCCATCTCTCTGGGCTGGGTTGACCTCCCCCATCCAGGGAGGCACCTCTGAAAGGGGGCTGAGAGGGGCCCCAGTTTCTTCGTTCTGCTCACTTAGTACTTGGGAGGGCACAGCCTCATCTTCTAAAGGCATCTTGTCCTCCAAATGGTCCAGCAAATTCTTTACAAAAGGAAAAGAGGGAAAGGGAGAGGTCTCACTGCCTGGCACAATGTCACAACCCCCTCATCCCAGACCGTGCCACTTTCCTGGCCCTACCTTGAAATCCATCAGGTCTGCGTTGGACACAGAGCCATACACAGGATTTGCTCCTGTTTGCCCTGGGAGCTGAAACGCCAGGAAGAGGAGGAAGCTCGCGGTGATGGCGGAGGAGCCCATGCTGGCGTCGGTCAAGGAATGGTCGGTCTGGTGCTGCTGCCCCCTCTCTGTTCTCTCTGGCCTTCCACCCTTGGCCTTTGTCCGCCTCTGTCTCCCAGCTGCCCTGCGCTTCCTCTTTTTATAGCCCCCTGGCTCTCCGGGAGCTCGTCCGGGAGAGGGACGGAACCCTCCGCATTCTGTCACTTGCAGTGATAAAGCAGCTGAGTGAGGAAGCAGCAGAAGATGCCCTTTTAAAGTTATCAGTTCAGCCTGCTCGTCACAGCCCCTCTGCCTTGAGCAGCCCCGACAACCCCCGGGACCCTCAGCTGCAGGAGCCACATTCTTGTTGATTTGCCTCAAGAGGTTCCCACTTCAAAGGTGTGAGAAGAGCAAAAAAGAGTCCTTGGTTATCTCACAGCGATGCCTCGGGTTTCTTTCTCCTCGGCAACGGGACTCATGCGGGGAAGCAGAGGGTGACGGCTGGCGGGCGCCCAGCTCCCCTGGTGCTTTGCCGCTCAGCTGTCAGGGCTCCAAATAAGGGCGGGAGGGGAGGATGTGGCAGGCAGCCGGCCGCTCGGCTCAGGACAAATTAGTCCAGATGCTGGAGCTGGCCTCACATCTGACTCATCGGCAGTGGCGAGGGCAGACCTCTCCCTCCACAGGGCTGCCCCTACCCCTAACTGTCCCTCTCCGTGTCCAGGTGAAGAGAAAGTTGTTTTCTAGAGTCCTAAGTCAGCCGGAACCAAATGGGACCAATGTCCCAAGAACTCCACTCCCCAGAAGAAACACAAGACAAGTTTTAGGAACATGATCATTCCTCTGCAAAGCCCGCCTCCTTCACTGTGTGGCTCCTTCCAAGGTGTGGGGGGAACTTGACACTAGAAGGCTGCTGGTATTTACATTTAAGGAAGCTTGCTGCTTCTAGAAACTCAGACTCTGTGAAGCTTGTAACACCTCGCACCTTCCTGGGAACACTCCCAAGGTGAGGTTGGCTGATGGAGGCAGTCGTGACCTATGTAGTTTCCCTTAAGGCCTTTCATGTCCTTCTCTAAGGCCCAGCAAGCAATGAGCCATCAAGGTCTCTATTTTCCTGGCCCCGCAAAGAGAAACACCAGGCAGTGAGTCTCTCTATCTGCAATGAATGGCTTCCTTCTGTTGTTGTTGTTGTTCAGTTGTTCAGTTGCTAAGTTGTGTCCAACTCTGTGACCCCATGGACTGCAGCATGCCAGGTTTTCCTGTTTTCCACCATCTCCTGGAGTTTGCTCAAATTCTTGTCCATTGAGCCAGTGATGCTATCTCACCCATCTCTTCAGCTGCCGCCCCCTTCTCCTTTTGCCCTCAATCTTTCCCAGCATCAGGGCCTTTTCCAATGAGTCAGCTCTTACCATCAGGTGGTCGAAGTATTAGACCTTCAACTTCAATATCAGTCCTTCCAATGAATATTCAAGGTTGACTTCCTTTAGAATTCACTGGTTTGATCTCTGCAGTCCAAGGGACTCTCAAGAGTCTTTTCCAGCACCACAGTTCAAAAGCATCAATTCTGGGAGGGAGGTGGGAGGGAGGTTCAGGATGGGGAGCACATGTAAATCCCTGGATGGTTCATGTCAATGTATGGCAAAAACCACTACAATATTGTAAAGTAATTAGCCTCCAACTAATAAAAATAAATGGGAAAAAAAAAAGAAAAAATAAAGCATCAATTCTTTGGTGCTCAGCCTTCTTTCTGGTCCAACTCTCACATCCATACATGACCACTAGAGAAAATGTACAGCACTGGCCTCCATTTACTAAGTGCCAGACCAATGCTATACATTCTTCAATGCAGTGTATCCAGAGGGGAAACACTACACTGAAGGGATGAGAACCCTGCATTGTGGCCCCAAGCAGTCAAATTGCATGTATCTTTGTGTCTTTGTTTTCCTTATCTGTGAGCCCTAAAAGAGCTGTTACTATATAAATGCATTTGAAGTGTGAACTGACTCACTAGAAAAGACCCTGATGCTGCAAAAGATTGAGGCAGGAGGAGAAGGGGACAACAGAGGATGAGATGGTTGGATGGCATCAAAGGACTCAAAGGACATGAGTTTGAGCAAGCTCTGGGAGTGGTGATGAACAGGGAAGTCTAGTGTGCTGCAGTCCATGGGGTTGCAAAGAGCCAGACACGACTGAGTGACTGAACTGATCTGAAGTGTGAACTGCATGATACTCATAATGGTTATCTTTATTGGTTGCTTGGAATGTGCGAGACATGGTGCTGAGAGCTTCATGTGGATTCTTCCCTTTTCATCACCAGCCCCAGGAGGTAGGTATTGTCTCCATTCACAGAGGGGCAGAACTGAGCCTGAGAGCATCTGTCACTTGCCCAGTGTCACTCAGCAGGATCGGGACAGGAACCCCAGATCTGACGCCAAAGCCTGGAATCTCAACCCCCTTCTCAGATACTGCTGCTTCTTAGCATGAAGTTTCCTTAACAATCCCTTTAGTCTCAGTTCCTGATTAAACACTGCCCTAGTCAAATCCCTTATGACTATACAGTAGAAGTGAGAAATAGATTTAAGGGACTAGATCTGATAGACAGAGAGCCTAATGAACTATGGACAGAGGTTCATGACATTGTACAGGAGAGAGGAATCAAGACCATCCCCAAGAAAAAGAAATGCAAAAAAGCAAAATGGCTGTCTGAGGAGGCCTTACAACTAGCTGTGAAAAGAAGAGAAACGAAAAGCAAAGGAGAAAAGGAAAGATATACCTATTTGAATGCAGAGTTCCACAGAATAGCAAGGAGAGATAAGAAAGTCTTCCTCAGCGATCACTGCAAAGAAATAGAGGAAAACAATAGAATGGGAAAGACTAGAGATCTCTTCAAGAAAATTAGAGATACTCAGGGAACATTTCATGCAAAGATGGGCTCAATATAGAACAGAAATGGTATGGACGTCACAGAAGCAGAAGATATTAAGAAGAGGGGGCAAGAATACACAGACGAACTGTACAAAAAAGATCTTCATGACCCAGATAATCACGATGGTGTGATCACTCACACTCACCTAGGGCCAGACATCCTGGAATGTGAAGTCAAGTGGGACTTAGGAAGCATCACTACAAACAAAGCTAGTGGAGGTGATGGAATTCCAGTTGAGCTATTTCAAATCCTAAAAGATGATGCTGTGAAAGTGCTGCACTCAATATGTCAGCAAATTTGGAAAACTCAGCAGTGGCCACAGGACTGGAAAAGGTCAGTTTTCA